AAGTTGACAATGGAAATGCTAGGGGAAAAAGTGGCGTAAAGCAGAGATGGGCAAACTCATTATCTAGATAAAAAGTTTGGAATAACGAATAAAAGGTAAAAAAAAAAAGTGTTTCGTCATTTTTGATAAATACCACATATTTAACACGATGGAAAACCTCAGGTTCAATTATTTAACAAGAAAAATTACTGGACGATTAAAAAAAAAATGATTTAGATGGTTGGATTGCTCATTGAAAAACACAATTAAAAAAAGAAAATTGATGCAGATACGATTAGTCGTTTAGAAGAAAATTGAACGTCCAAAGATTTACTCCTTTCGTCCCACTGTACGGGGTGAGTCAGTCCGAAACGGAAAGAAAAATACTTAGACCGCATGTAAATGAAAAACGACGATCGTTCCTGGAATATTCATCGATCGAACGCGACATGCGTCTGCTTTTCGATAATTCCCTCCTCCTCTCTGGTATGGACACCTATACGCGCAAGCTCGCCGTAGCCTGGGTCTCTGGCGACCTTCGTCGTCTATTTCAGTCTTCGTCGGGAGAGCCGTAACACGGAGAGAAGGAAGAGCAATTTCTCAATTTCCCCGTTACGCCGGTCGTTTACGGTAATCGCGTCCGCGGTAGAACAGCTCCTTCTGAACGCCGGCGAACGTGAACACGCAGACTAAATTCGTGGAATTGTTATTTATACGTTGTTCTTTAGGTGTTTTAGGTCTTCGGATCTAGGTCTTTCAGGTCTTCGGATCTAGGTCTTTTAGGTTTTCAGATCGTCCTTAGGTCTCTAGACAATCTTTCACAATACAATTTAGCACTTGCAATGGTATCTCAGGTTATCAGTGGAACCAGAAGATACAGATGCCCCTGCCGATTTTCACACGACGATTGCATACGTGAAAGAGTTCGCGAACTTTCCCGTTGAACCGACGAACACACCAACAGCAAGGGAGCACACACGAGAGAGGCGGCAACCGGTCGTCGTGAACGGTGCAACGATCGTTCGCCTGTGTCCGAGCGACGACGGTTCGGTGAAAGGCCAGGACACACGAGTGTAACAACTGCATATACCTATACTTTACAGGTTACAGTCATCCATCGTCAGCCCACAACAGAGCTGAACGGCCGATATTGCATCCGCGTGATATGATAATAGATGACGTGGATCGTTACATACCGTTTACCCTGCGGCTGGAAAACGGGTCCTAAACGACACCGTGCAGGAACTGTCCGATTTATTGAGATTGACCCGAATTCTCCACGGGCAATCCGCCGAACGCAACCGATCGATTAACTTCTTGCTGTTTCGTGATGTCGATTACAGAGCAATTTCGTCATGGATGAAAAAAAGGGAGATTTCTAGATAAAAAGATTGAAGATCTAATCCAGGTTCAAGGGTCCAATTGGATTCGATGAGATTTAAGCAGATCGAATAAGGATATCAAACAGGCTATGATACGATTCAATGAGAAATAGCAAGATCCCATGAAATTCAATCAGATACACCAGGATGCCCAGGAGATCCAATGAGATTCACAAGCAAAATTCTAGAAGATCCACTCTGCAGTCTTTCCAAAGGGATCGAAGATCCAATCAGACAGGAGGTCCCGTGGGATCCAACGGAAATCCAGCACGAATTCCAATGAGATCGAAGGAGGGGCAGAAGGAACACGTCGCCGTTTCTAGGATATTTCAGAAAGGATGGGAGCAGTTGCGCGGAACGGTCGATTATCAAATCTTGTTGCATAATACCACAGACCTGGGCTAATCCGTTCCCTCGCGGTTGCACCAACGCCGCTCGTTCGGAATCAGACTGCTATCGTGGGGTTCGCATCGGACCTGCACGGACGCAACGGCGCGTAGTGGTTTGAAACAATTCGAATTTTCGACATCTTTCAATAGATTCATTTATCTATGACCTAAGCTTTGGGATTTCACAAGTCACTTGAAATTATTGTTTGGGAAAGCTTTAGAAATGGAATGAAACACCTGTTTTATGTGTTTAAAGACCTGGAAGACGTAAGTCTAAAGACCTTAAAGACTTAGATCTAAAGACCTAACAGACTTAGATCTGAAAACCTAAAACACCTAGATCTAGAAACCTAAAACATCTAGATCTGAAAGATCTGGACCATATCGAGACTTGGAGCCATCCATAAGTCCAATCCTCCAAGTGTATTCAACTTAGAAGTAACGAGACCACTCATGGTCCTGCAAGAAAATGATCCTTCACTTACTCCCAACGGACTGTAATTCACGTAATTAATATTCCCTCATTCTTACGTTCCGAAACACACGGTGGTCCCACGCAAGGTGTGTTCTCTTGTGGTCTGTTCCTCGTTTCGCAAACCGTGCTCCCCCATTGTTTATCGACGCTCTCCTCCATTTGTAACGTACAATAAGGATGTTTTGGTCGGTTTATTGCTGTAACAATCGACAAAACGTTTCCTCGATTCGTGCCACGGCAACACATTTCCGTATGACAGTCAACCACATTTGTTTACACATATTCCCAGTGCAATTCGCGGATCGAACGTATCGTGAAACAATTACGAAATATCCCCCTTCGAATTGCTTTCCATAAATTACCATAGAATTACGGCGCTCGTGTTATTTAGTAATTACAATTATGAAATAACATTCGAAAATCGCTGTCGTTTGCTGCTCGAGCATACAGTAGTGAGAATCAAAAGTGAGTACAGTAATACCCCCATTTACGCGAATTCGCACTTACGCCGTTTATTGTTTCCCCTCCTGTCCCATCTCTTACCTGCCACTTGTATGTCACACAAGTATTTTTATAGTTTAATTTAATGAATAAAACAGTATTAATTAGCAATAAATTAGAGAAGTTTCAGAAGATACGACCTTGAGATGACCTTCACTCTCATAGCCTAATTTCCCCTTAAAATACATTAACTTTCTCCCGAACCTTTTTTTTTGTACCTTGACAAATAAGAGAATAATTAAGGGTGGCAGAGTTAGGTGGAACATGCTGTATATTACATTCTGTAATGAAAATTAAAGAAAGAAATATATGTACATATTCTGTGCGCTGCTGATTGTTCACCGGACACCCAAGGCTGTCGATCGTACGGTCAAGTTCCAATCGACTTATGAAAATCGTCGTGACTGCTTAATCGATCGATCCAGACCGTACACTAAACAATTTTCTAAACCGTCTAACGCGTATGTTGGCGTGTGTAGAAATTAGCAGATTTAACTATGGACAATAATTAGTATGCAAAACAGGTGTGAATGTTTCTATTCGTAATGATGAAAACGTAGAACGGGTCAACGGGTTAAGGAACAGGTTAAGAGATATTGGGGATAATTAAATGTCCGTTGCGATATATCCATGGTGACGTAAACAAAAACACACGAAACATCGTTAGGGACAGCTAGCCATCCAATGGGAGATTTTATCGTCCAAGATGTCATCAAGGCCATGATCCAAGGGTCTAAAGTCGGGATTCAAGGAGACTTTGACCAGAGACACTCCTCCGACCTTCGCGCAAAGTCTCCAATGAGACACAGACGCTCGGGAGATCGTGGACCATTTTTCGGCCCCGGAGAGATACGACAAAAGGCTCTGTAGGGGGGACACTATTTCCGAAATGGTTCCGAAAATACACTACGTGTCCTTGTACAGGAACAAAAAGTTCTCGTACTACGTTCTCGCGGTTCTCTAAGCCGTGTGGCTCGATCCGATATAGCTACCCGTGTTGGACGATCTCTCGACGGCTTTCACTTTCGTTCGGATCGGGCTTGTACAATCTCGACGAGCCACAACCTCATCGACAAACGTCCAGAATTTTCGGCGGCTGCGAACCCGATGTCGACGCGAACAATTCAGAAAATTAGAGAACACTATCTCTGAAACCTCTTAAGTCCCTGGCTTCAGCTGTAAAATTGGGCTTCTTAGTGCCTGATTAACGTCTGTTGCAAGCTAAGACCCCACACTGGAGTCACAGTTACCTCCACAGACTTTAAACGGTTACCAAACTATTAATTAGTTTAGGTTGAAAAAATTACTGAAAAATCTTGAAATAGTGCAAAATAAGAATGAAATGTTTTATAGGTGTTAATTTTAATTTTGGGTGTGGTAAAAAAATCCGTGAGAAATGAGTGTTTTTACTTTAAAAAATCTCATCAAAAAATTGATAAAATTTTAGAGATGTTTGTCAAATTTAGCCTCAGGTTCCCTTGGGGTCAAACAGACCCCGTATGGTCGTTGAGGATTAAGGGTGAAACGTCTTCTGAATCGTTGAACGTCTTGATCGTGAAACATCTTCCTCTGGAGTTTCGTACGAACAAAATTCCAGTTGTGTGGAAGATTTCTTCGCCGGTAGTTGTGGCGATTGTCCAGGAAAAGGTCAGGTTCCATAGCTGTTCGAGAGAGGACAATGGAGCATTCGCAAAAACCAGAGCTGGAGGAAGTGTGCTGGCGGTCTCTCTCCTCTCACGCATGACCTGGAAACCTCCTTGGCTCGCGGAGATATCTCGTGGCCAGACGAGAGGAAGAACAAGAAAAAAAGAGTCGAAAGTGGGCTTGTTACGTAACGATTTTGAGTAACGTCATCGCGCAAGACAACACCGGTAACATACCTACTGCTCCTGGTTGTTTGCATTGCTCTGTACGCATGGAACGGCTCGATGTATCATATGGCCCAGGATCCAGTGGATACGAAATGTTTCAGCTCCTCCAGCCATGTAACCCCAATTTAATTACAATCAACAGTTACTTCAGTTAAATAATAAAAACTTACATTTTAAGGGGTGGTTTCACCCCGAAGAACCGGATATTAAATAATACTAACTTTCCATGATCCACACAGAGCTTCTACCAATCTTACTCCGTCAGATATTCCTAGTAAGGGAATGGTGACTATTTTCGAAAAAGGAGGAAGACCTTTTTTTGCGTCTTGGTTCAAATCGAACACGTATCTACGAATATCTAACAGTCACCACCACTGTCGCTGATTTACTTTTCTGTTTGCAGAGGTTGAATGCGAGGTGTCGAGTCAAGTGGAGTATTCTCTGCAAGCGATCTGGGGTGTCAGCATACGGGAGCTTCATCTGGCGCTTTGGAAGCCCTGGAGCACCCTCAGGGACGCGTCCTTGAACGGCACGCTTCTTCAGGGCCACGCGCAGTACCTGACGCCTCCACAAACGTATCCTTTAACGCCAGAAATGTTTTTCGATCTAAACTAAAAAATTCTCCGATTCGAGAACTTGGTCAACTCGCGATAACTGCTTGCGATAAATACCTGTTAGGAATACTCTCTGCCCACACTTAACACTAGAACTACCAGCACTGTATATTAATACACTCTATATATATAGTACAATTTAATGTGATATAGTATAACATAAAATGTGTGGTAAATCAGATAATAATGTAAATTTCGCCCAAAACAATATTATAATTTCAGTAATCCTAAAATAAAAAACCCGCAATCATTGACCAGCAGTCATTTTGACGGGTTTGGTAGTTCTAGTGTTAACACTCTCTGTCGCCTCTGTGGCCAATAAAGCTAGGGATGTAAGGAGATCCCGTATACTATTAACTCTCCATAATTACCCGTTCCTAGAACTGTCCAGCCTCTAAAACTGAGATGATAGCAAATTCATTATTACTACTCGAATAAAATTGTGTCCAACTCTGCCCTACAGTCGCTAATGCAAGTAATTATTGCGAGTTCGGGTAATTATCGCGAATCCAGTATATTCGATTGATTTTCCTTGACCAAAAGGTTACAGTAGACAGCCGCACGGCGAGGAGACGCTGAGATTGTCGCTTCCGGCGCCCGAGTTGGAACTCGGCACGCCACCACGTCTCTGCTACCCTCTGGTGATCTTCCTGACCCGTCGGGACAACGGGGACCCACATCCCGACGAGACCGTGGGTATCTCTCGATATTCATGAAATTTCTCTTACAAAACCTGCGGAACACGTTCGACGAACCAGATAGATAATATTAAAATTATACAGTTCCCATTACGGACTCCTCTCGATTATCGTCTCGAACACGGGTCCGCACCGGGACAATAATCTTATAGGAAGAAATGCTTCAGATTCTCGTATATTCGTTTTTTCTCCGAAATCTGCGAGCCTCGGCAACAAAATTAGAGGGGCAACAAAGTGTGCCCTTCATAGGTTCTACGCCCCCCAGTGGTGGAAATAATGCCTGGACAATAATCGTGTAGAACAAGCCAGACAGTAATCGAGAGGAGTTTGTATCGAAGTTTTAGGGTGTAAGCCGTGTGGAATTATTTTCTCAACGTTTCCCAAGCATTGCAACCAGGTTTACTAGGTACTACTTACGTATTGTGTCTTTCAACCACCTGATGAAGTTACTTTCTAAAATAATATAGTTCCACAAGGACACTGCTTACACTCGAACGACCCAATAGTGAAAACTGTACATAGTGTCGTGAAAGCCTCGAATCTCGAATATTAATTCTCGTTCGTAAGAGTGTTGTATATAGATCAGGCACTAGAATTTAATGAACGTTTTGCTCGTAATAAACATTGAATAAATGAATAAGCCTTCGCGTGAATCACGGAACCGATGAAAAACTGTTTATGTGATTCGACGTTGGACAGCGCCGTTTTAATAAGCTGGCCTTAAATCAACGACCCAGATACAATTTATTCTACCCGGTTTGTATCTTCGCGAACGGGGATCGAGGTAACCTGCGAGATATACGTGGTGCGCGGTGAAAAATTCATGTAAAACTGCGGCTGGATTTGCATTACAAAACAAGCGGAACGTGACCATCAGTCGCTTGTCGTCGTTACGATTCACGATCGTGTATTATGATCGAACGTAAATTTTCAGCGAGACACGGATATGATCGGAGTCGTTTGAATCTTCGCGTGACGATCCTCTTTTAGAAGCCTATACCCTATTAGGTTTCCAGTCGAGAGCCTTGTGTGTGTTTGTCTTATTAGAAGATGGTCGGGCGACATTCACCGAACGTGTTCCACTGAAAATCAGGCTTCCTCGGGGATCTTGTAATTCACGATCTCTCGTCATGGATCGTTGGCTGGCAACCGGTGATTTTTAATTAGTCGCACGATCGAGAGCGGAAAACAGGGGGGAGTGGGGGGTGTCCTAGATGGCGACGATTGGTAATAGCCGGTTGACTGTCGGTGTCTCAGGGTTTTTCCTTCATTTTTGTCACCACACACTCCACGAGTCGATAGCAAATGATTTATTATCAATATATTAACAGGCGCTCGAATACTATAGACTAAATCAATGTGACAATTTAATATCGTACGAGTAAAAAGCTGATTGTATGATTACATTGAACCAAATGATTTAAAGCTAAACGCTACAACTCGATAAAACAACCTTTATAGGACGCACATAGCGTTCCACGATTCTTGAACCCACGACATAGGGAACTCAAAAGCACCGATAAACACGTTTTGAACATTTTTGTTCTGTAGGTAGCGCTGGTGAACGTGGTCCACATAAAAGATAGCGTATGCACCCTACCGACCTCGATTCTGGCGCAGTATCTGAAGCAAGCGAACGGCCAGTTGTCCTGCCTCAAAGTGAGTCCTCACCTCTTAGCCCCTCCTGGTCTCTCACGAGGCAGGAAGTAGTGATGAGCGATACAGATATTTCGAATATCGATACTCCGGGTATTAATATACGTATCGATACTCTGAAGAGATCAATACAATTCAAATGTATCGCCAATATCACTAGTGAAAAGGGTAACATAAAACTGAAAAACTCCTTCTGCGTCTGTTTCAGCAACTGTACCTGGCCACGGGCAATTCAACGAACTATGACGAAGGGGACGTGTCCTCGGGTTTGGGCTCGGCTCTGGCACTCGCAGAGCCGTGCAACAGCAACGGTAGTTCGGCGAGGGGGGCGCTGGTCGCCTCCGGTACCGGTGATCCGGAGGGATCGCTCTGGAACACAGCCGGGGAACAGCTCTGCGTAGTCTGCCAATACTTCCCCTTATCACGCGCCCTATTACCCTGCAGGCACACCTGTATCTGCGCCTCGTGTTTTGGGAAGCTCGACCGTTGTCCGATGTGCAGAAGCCCGATCAAGAGTTATTTCTGCATCAGGGGCGAGGAGTATATGCCCCTCGAGACGGACATCAATCCGTGCAAACAGAGGCAATCGAGTCATGGACCGACCCACTGGCTGCACGACTGGAACGACAGGCTGACCGATTTCCTTGGGTTCGCCCGATAGGATCCGTATAAATTCGAGAGCCATTTCGAATCGTATTCGAGAAGCCTGATGTTGCGTTCTCTTTTTGAGTTGCCCACGACGCGATGATGGATCGTACGTGTTTCCAGTCGAAGGATCGAACGATGGTAGCCAAGGGATCTCTCGTGTCTTCGAGTCGAGGTAGCTTTTGTCGAGAATTCAGAGTACGGTAAATAGAGGGAGTGCGAGAGGCGGGACGTTAATTTGTACGACGAAGAAACCGATCTGAGAACGACCAGGGAACTGTGGTGTGTGTATTGTGTTAGAATGATTGGGGGCTGTGTACTTTCCGTTGAGGATTTAAGTACCAGTTTGGAATGAATAACAAAAATTGTAGGTTTTCGGGGATATTCCTGAGTATTTTCTTCGAGATTCTTCGGTTTAGGAGACAGTATGACGGACGTTGGTACCGTTTCCTTTTTTGATTTCGTACGATTGTTTTTGTACTGTGCTTTAAATCTCGACTTCGAAGACCGGACAGGATGTGCGCGATGGTCAGAGTTGGTTGAAGGTAGAACGTAAGAAATATTAATGTCCTCATATGGGTATGTGGAAAGGAAAAAAAAACTGGTTGGATGATGGAGAGAAATTTCTAAATCAGATACGGAGTAAACGTTTCACATTTTTACCACGTAACGTTGTATAAATACTTAAGGTGTACATATACAAGATACAAATACGATGTGTCCCCGATTCTATGATAGTAACGATTAAGTTATTGATATTATTTCGTACGATATGCAAGTTTATTCGATAGATCTAGAGATATATTAGTTCCGATATGTGCATGCCTTTGAAGTATTTCCCCCCTCCTTTTTCTATCTGTACGGATTAATGATTACGAAGGGAAATGTCCATTTTGTTTTCTTTGTAATTGCTCTGCCGTCCATGAGCAGCGATGGAGCGCCACTTTTGCGTAGAAGTTCTTACGGAAAGCGTCATCACACACGGGAATAATAAGGAAGAAAGAGAGAAAGCGAACGTTCGGTGGAATTAGTTTAAGAAGGATGTTGCGTTAACGTTATAAACTGTAAATACACAGACTGTGATAATTGTAATAACATCTTATTATGTAACCAGACAAACGAGAGTGTCCTGAATTCGGGGCATCGGAACGGAAGGATTTGGAGCGGCGCGAAAAAGGAAATCATTCTCGGATTTCACTGTTCAACGCATACACGTTATCAGCCATTTCTTTTTTTTTTTTGTATCTTCTAGACACATACGTTCAAAGAAAAGAAAAAAAACAATAATACTCTCTTGCCTAGGGGTTTGTAATAACAAGAACAAAATTTTAAGCATTTTCCGATAATAAACTTTTGTAAATAGACACGCTGTTCGGACAGATTTAACGTTTTAAAAGTTCATATTTAAAATATCCATCATTCACACTTCTGCTGTTTCAAAAATTTTTAATTTCATAGAAATTTAATACTCGAACAGTTTTCAAACGGATAAACTAGATTTAAGTAGCTCTTATCTTTTTCGATTTTGTTATATCAGTTTGGTGTAATATTTGATCATAAAAAGACTAGAAATTATTATTCGAAAGACTTCTCTTTTTTCTTTGTGATAAGAATTTAAAAGTAGACAGTGATTCTCACCGCTCGTAGCCTGGCGGTGTAAGTTACTACCGACAAGAATCATTGAAACTTCATGTGCAATGCAGTTACAAGCCCCTGACATGTGTGCAAGTAGGGGAGTACGTGGAATTATATGTTTAAATTCAAGAGTAAAGGCCTCTGAAGTCAATGTTATTGTAGTCGACGACCTTAACATCCTAATTTATATTTCATTTAACAAGTATGGAGTTTCGATGATGCAACTATGTCTGTATGTGAGAACCTGTATATAATTTATTTAATAAAACGTATTCATGCTGTTATGCTGTGTCGTTCGTACACACAGGAAATGTCATGAGACATTACTTCCTGTAAAAGTATAATAATTAAATGTATGTATTAGCTACACTATCTGGTGTGCAACCTAGATCTTCATATAAGTATTTCCAACTTATTTGGGCTACTTGTACAATTTAATTATTCATTCATAATTAGTCTTCTAGAAATTATCATAAATAATAGCAAGTATGGCTCGAATCTCTCAAGTACTACAATATCTAGTTCATGTCCTTTGTCTCAAGATCCGAGTTTCTATATAGATCGGTGATGTTCGACCAAGTTCGACATTCTTCGGGTGTGTTCGGTTCTTTACGATATACGGTATATTTCACTGTGCTTGAAGACCGTTGATCACGTTGACGTTCGGCTCTGTTTCACAAATTCAAATTTCCATCGAACGTCGGTCGATATTTCTCTAAAAAAAGGCTCGTATCAAGTGAATCTCGTGTTCAGTTTCCCGAGGAATCATGTTATTAAAAAGATCAACGGTTCGCAATCATCTTAAGATGATTCTACGAACGGATTAGAAGCGGAAAGGACGCAAATTCACATGCTCCCTGTGAAAATTGTTACAATACTCTGCTCATTGTGAACCGGTGCGTATTGTCTGTCTCCCTTTGCTCGTTACTGAAATTCCGTTGTTTTCATTCCGGTTGAACCTTTCACCTTTGATATGGATTACCGCGAACAATAAGAATACACGAGCCGTTTCGATGTCCTTTTCAGGCACATGTACACTCATCGATCAAAAGGGAATGTTTGTTTTGCTTTTCTCTGCCTTCGAGACTCGAGCCATCGCGAAGGTTAGACTGAACGACAGTACGATCACTTGACGACCTGGTGATTGCACGCACCTTGTTTGTATCGGCTTTTAGATCTGACTCATTCGTGCGGCGATAAGACCTGCTGTAAATTCGATCTTCTTGATTTATTCGTAAATATTCTTTAAACATCTGACATTCTTATTCAAGCAACTTGCACTAGTATTATGCTCTTCATCAAATAAATCAGATTATTCAAACATATTAATTTATAACAGAACTATAATCTAGATAAATAAGATATTAAAGTTAATTCATTATCCTTCGGGTCTACGTTTTGGAGCATAAAGGTTAGCAAAAAAAAATACTCTATTTAGTTTCATGGCTGACTTCTCTATATATATTTTCATCATTTTCAGTTACTTTATACCACATTAAATTTATGAAGTTGTGAATCGATAAATTTCTGAACATCATATATTTGTAATAGTAGTAGTAGTAATAGTAACAATACTAGAAGTTTATTTCTATGCCTCTCTGTTTTATAATTAGGAGGTTTACACATGGGTCATTGTAATATATAGAGAATATTCTTTTATTTTTTGTTCTTTTTTTATCCTACTCTTTTGTCTTCTATAAATTGAATGATTATCATTCTATCAACATTGTTACTTACCAGTTACGCAATGTTATGTTTTAGGTTTTAAGGAGGAAGCAATTATAAGAGACAAATAAAATAATGGCAGGCAGTGGTGAGCTTTGGGTACAGTGTTTCACTTGTTGCTTGACACAGCAAGGACCAAGAACACGAAATGGAAGGCAGAGGTCACATCAGAGGCTAAGGATAGACCGCAGTATGATAGGAGTGCCTACAAATTTTAGACATACTGGTCACATTAGCAGTGGAGATCTTGACATGAGCAGTGCACAGTTATCAAATATTCAAGCACAGATGCAGATGAAGGGTGGCTACGATAATGCTTACGGCGTTAAGGTAACTGAGTCTTTATTTTCATTGTAAAAAATATTATAACGAATGTATAGAAATACGTTTTCATTTCAGGCATGTTGAAAATAACTGTACAGTGCATTTAGACTGGCCTGGAAACAATCTTACAACAGGACTAAAAGAAATTGACTGAGTTTTTAATGTCTATGTTCCTTGTGTTAAGACAAACATACGTGTAGCTTATTGTATGTGTAGAATGTGCTCGAATGAAAAACTCGAATTTTTTACACTGAGAAATAAGTTAAACTGAGTTCACAAGGAATGTTGCTAATCTCTGCAGAGATAGTATTAAGAATGTGCATTTTAATTACAAATTGCATTTAACTGTCGTACAAATGAAACTTCTATATTAAAGACTGGATATTCAGTAGAGACAGAAACTGCTATGTTATACACAAAAGTTTTGAGGTGCATTTGTTTTTTTTATAACTTGCAATTATTCTTCCATTTCAAAGAATCAGTGGTTATTGATATGATATACTAACATACTAGATGTTATATCGAACGTTACTCGTATTTACATGTTTTCTTTTTATATGGGAATGACTTTTTGCAGTAGTAGATCTATCATTGATAAGGGTTAGATGATACCGTTATTGTACTTCCAAGTGTGAGTGTAAGTACTTCGCGTTCTGTAGTGCTTTTGTAAAAAGAAAACGAAGGAAGAATGTATTTTGCATGGTTCACCTGTGCCGACTAATGGATAAATATTTTAGCGTATATACGATGAACGTCTACGTTCACAAAGCACGGCCCATTTTTCCTACTTCTGTATTTCACCCCTGAATAGGGTGTATAAACCTACATTAGGTAATATTTGGAACTTAGATGTGTCGAAAAAAAAAAACCGAGGGAAAAATAATTTATACGTATTTTGCCTAGTCTATAATCATTCTACCACAAGTCGTGAATTATGCTAGCCATTGTTTGTTGTATTTTAATCGTACAAATTGTGATCTTCCAAAGGTATAGCCATGGACCAGTGTCAAACGTAAAAGCAAAAAGGGGGAACGAATCTGCAAAGGATTCTCTAGAATCTAATTTAAATCCTGGACCACTATAAGTCTAAAAATATATTAGATAAATTTATGAAAATATATTTACACCCCCTATTTCTGATCGACTTCTGTACACATCATAAATATTTATTTACACTTCTGGTATTCTGACGAACAGCATTATAAACGAAAATCATACCGTATAAACTTTTAATGAACAAAAAAGTGCGTCGAAATAAAAGATAAAACGTAGGCTCTAAGTATTGTATTTAATATGTAAGAATAAATTTGTGTACTTGGAAATTAAGCTTTATCGCACAGTTCCTCCTAGTATTATGGAAATAACTATATTTTCTGTTATAAGGGAAAACATTATTAACCAGTTGCTTTTATCTTCCTTAAATTATATTTTTCCATAAATGACAAATATATACAGAAAATTATTCATCTATTATTTAAAAGCAAAATATTTGTGCGTCTCGTGCCACCAATAATGAATATATTAACATTACTTTAAATGCTCCGTAATGCATTTATTTATTACCGTTTCTTCTGCTCAATGGAAGAATACTTATTATCGATGAGATTAGATACAAAAGAAATGATATTTCATAAGCTAAACGTCACTACGTCGATCTCAATGACTGTAATATCACATAATATCACATGATACAGATCCATGTCTTCTACAGAGACTCGCTTCGTCCCTTTTGCACAAAATATTCTGTATGAAACTTCCCTTTAAAATCATTCAATTAAACGCGTTGAAAGACATGTAACCATGAAAAAAACAAAAAATATTCGCTTCAGAAAGAATATTCTGTGCAGTCAGCAATCGTATACGTAAATAAATCATCTCTTTAAAATTGTACTTCAATGTTAAACACACCATATACGTACACCGACAGCCATGCTGCTTCTGTAATTATATTTTAAGTTATCCATTGGTCATGGATGAACGAAGAAACGCCTGCGAGTCTTTCTTTTTTCATCTTTGTCGTCACCAGCTAAGCTGATAGACCATTCCACCACGCATATTCGTTTTACATATATATATATATATTTTTTTTTTATATATATTCTTGTATATATATATATATATATATGTATTGTTGTATCAAAAACCGACGCATAAATTGGTAAACGGATACAGCCGCCCAGTAGTAGAGTCTGTGAGCTAAATAATAGAAAAGAGATCTCGATATTTACAAAAGAATTAGGATAGCTTGCCAAAAAAAAAAAGAAAAAACGCGATCTCGGTATTTACAAATCAGCTTGCACTCAGTATCGATGCGTACATGTTTCAGACATCTCGATTCTTGTGCGTTTCCAAGAATCTTATAATAATAATTCGTACTCCAATCTATGGAATGCATTCCGCTATTAACAATGTAAATGTGCTCTAAATGCATATTTGTCCAGAGTCTCTCTGAGAGTCAAAGAGATTTCGTTCTTTAACAGAACTACACATTCGTGCTTCCTCTTGTTACGCGGCTCCGAAACGTTCATTTCCTCCTGCGCGTCTTTGCCGGTGTCGCGTGACTTCTCTCTTCCCCGATGCTCGTGACACCCAATCTCGTCAGGGGACTTCCGATGAACGTTACGTGGCAGCAGCAGCTCGATGGAAACTTGAACGTATCCGGGATCACCGTGCCATCCGACAATACTGCCGCGAGTTGTCTGTAAACGTACTTCTGTCTGCAGCTGGTTTTGTAGCCCTCGCCGGGACCACCGATCACGCTGCACCTAGTGTTCTCTTTGCTGCAAACGATTTCGAAATTACAAATCAAATACCACAGGGAAACATTTTCTCTGGTCATGTTCAAATGATACCCACTTGCACTTTTCAATTCGTACACCCTGCTTGAAGTTCTCTTGATTTGCAATGTACTTCCATTGATTGTCCTTGTTCTCGGCCGTTTGAGGAAATATAACTTGCTCCTTAAATGGTACAGAATTTATTCATACTATTACACTGTTTCGATTAACAAATATTTGCTTTCAGGATCAACAGATAAAGCACAATATACGTACGGAAGATACACAAAGGGGCACGTCGTCCATCACGTCGATCCTCTGCGCTATGTCGGACACCTAGAAAAATGTGGGTCATATGAGAGAGGGGTCAAGGGGCACTGAAATTGTTCCAACGAAATGATACTTACCACGTCTACACCTGCCAAGTACCTAAGGCTCTCGTTTTGTTGGATCGCGTTGGTTACTATGTTCTCAGGATAGGAGTCTACCTTCTCGCAATACGTGGACCCTTTGCAAACGGGCACCCGATCAAAGTCTTCAGGAAACACGATCTTACCATCTAGCTGCGCATTTTCAGTATCTGTTGATGAAAATTTTCGATGTATTACCATATTAGTGAGACGATAAAAATTTACGAAAGACAAACATTCGATGAATCCAGGATACGAATACGGAATGTGTTTACGTTTATGGGGTGACTGTATCGATTTCGGAGCTTTTGAAACGGGTACTTTTATTTGCCAATCAAAACAATCATACCTTCTATTGAGTGGCCTGTAAAACCTCTGCCCAAGGTTTTCGTAGGCGTGTCTGGAGCACCCCTGCGGACCCTTCCGTTCAATCGGCCATTGTTGTCGAACCGTTCCTCGGGTTCGCGTGGCTCATCGTCCTCGAAAGGTTCTCCAACGAGTATCCCCGGTTCGTTTCTTCGTGCACGATCGGTTCCGAATTTTCGCGAAATTTCGGGAAACGGTCCTACAAAATTCACGGTCGTCTGTGATTCCTTTACAGTGTCAAGAAACTGGTCAGCGTCCTCGATCCCGTCGGCTTGGTACGGATACGCGTGAACATTCTGTGCAATCTGAAAGTAAAGCAGTCGGTGTTAATCGGGACTTGTGACTTTTACATTAAAATTGTGTGGACGAACTAGAAGAACCATGCCAGCGCGTAAACGTGAGTACTGTGTGTTTCTAATATTCTTCGAGAACATGTCGAAGTACCGTTATAAGTGCCTAGTGCATACTTACGCAGATCAGAGATTTATCCTTTATCTACGATCATCGACGCGATTATTAATAGTTCTTGCACAACGTGCCTAGAGTTCGTATTATCAATTTTAAAGAATCGAAAGGTCTTCCTTTTTCCTGTCTCACTGTCGAATACATCGCTTAAATGCAAATCCAAATAAACGCGTACGCAAGTATATACTTGGCTATTTAAAGAATAATTGATCCTAGCATATTTAATTTATCCTGTGGCACTAGGATTCTCAATCGTATCTATATATTCACATTAGATTATTTCACATTAGTAAATTGATTTTCATCGAATAATTCTAACGGAAAATTAAACATTTATATGCTACAAATGCATAGAAGATATCATTTAATTATGATCCTCTGGAATTGAATCTAATTTCGAAAATGATTGAGAACCTTTGGGTTAAAGTATGTTTTAAACTTTAAACGATGCACAATGTATCGTTCAAAGTTGCCGAGGATACGTTGCGAATTCTTGACTACAAAATAACGCACAGAAAATCACGGACAGTGCATGGTAAACACGAAGGCAGTCTGGTTGAAAAAAGAAAATAAGATTCAGTTTAACATATAAACATATTGCCGTGGTTTGATAACTGGATCGTCTTTCGAGACTTTTGAGGGAGATACTATCTCCGAGATAGACACAAAGAAGACTTCTATTGATATTATTTTCAAGAGAAATATTATTGACTTCCCCGAAACGTTAACGTCAGCCAAACGGAAATTATATTCGGAAAACCAAAGCTTAAAAAACCCACGATTGTCATTTCGCTACAATAGAAGCAATGAAACAGCGTTTCCCATTAATTGTGTTTTGATTTTACTGTCCACTAGTGTAATATCATGCAAGTTCTTGTCGAATGTAGTCAAGTTCGGAACATTGATTTCTTTAAAATTCAGATTCAAGTGACAATTAAGTAACGCTTTCGTGTAGATTTACGAAACTCGTTGATAAAACGCCTAAAATTAACTGTTCGACTTTGACACAAGTTCACCCTGTCAGCACTATATACAGTTACACGAGACGATAACAGATCTCGGGTTACGTAAATATAACCGGCTGCTAATTGCAGACTCTCTGCTCTACCGTGTAACGTTAAAGGCACTCATGACTTCGCCCAGACGTTCCAAGCATCTACCGAATCACTATTCTAATCTCTTAATTGGATCGTGGTGCTTAATCCGGGTATGTTAACTCTGGACAGGAGAATGAACGCGTGACCACATCGTGCAGCCAAGTTTCGACTGTTATTCGACGTGGATCCGTAGTGTTTACAGGAACCTCAAGCATGCCGGGCGGATAAACGAAACACAACAGATCGGTATCATTCAACGAGCCATCAAATATAACAAATCCTCAATATGCTTCATGTGTGATTCTACTTGTGCCCTATAGTGGGTGATCACATAAAAATTCATACTGTGTCACACAAACGTGTTATATATATATATACCCAGATGTCACATGACGCCTTGAAGACGGCTTAAAGGCGCCTTAGACCTAAAATAGGCGTCTTTAAGGCGTCATGTGCTGTCTGGGATACGCTCCATTAATCCAGTCAATGTTTACAACGTTTTTCGTGATCACTAACTGCGGTAATAACACGATCACTAAAGAGAGGCATTGTTTCTATCGGCACCAATTGTCACAGTCATCGGAATATTTCGATCAACAACACGTATACTCGAACCGTGTGTGTCTTCCTTACCAATATTAAAAGGCAAAGCTCGGTGAGCGGTAGAATCGGACTGCCGAATCCTCGTCCCATTTTGTGCACTTGTCGAACCAACAACAACATATCCATCTGACGTGAACTAGTCCCTTGGAGTCTGTGCGAAACACGAAACCGTGGCGAGTGTTCTCACCGTTTCGCGAGAAGGGAAACACTATTTTTTTCGCGTCTCTCTGCTGCCGGTCGTCTCCCACACGTCACGGGCCTGAGGAACCTGCGCGTTTCTCGACCAGTTCCTAACGATAGAACCAAACGGCGGGAACGTTCTTCTCCAGTGATTTCGTGCGCGGACAAGAAGCGGGCTCGCGGGAGCGACCGTTATCAGAGTGTTGCACGGCGAACTGCGGAGACAAGAAGATACAAAAGCGACACTCGATCGTCGATGGATCGCTCGGCGATCCTGCACGTTCGACTGATCGCACGCGATTGACCTGTTCTTGTCGCTTGCGTATATACCAGGTGGGGTTTCCGTCACACTAACGGCCCCCCCGTAAACGTAGCTTTGTGCCCCAGGGAACGGCTGACGGGGGCGGAACCACCGGTGGATTACCATTTCGTGTGGACGAACAGGTGTAAAAATGGACACAATCGCCGCGGGTACCATTTTAGCTTTAGATCATTGATAATTCATCACAGTGACACGGGCCAAAGCATTGGAAACAATCAGGTGGAACGAAGATTAGAATATACCCAGATAGAACATGACGCCTTGAAGACGGCTTAAAAACACCTTAGACTTAAAATAACCGTAAAATGAGCGTATACAAGGCGTGATGTGCTATCTGGGAATTGGAAATTTAGAAGCCAAAACCGTAAAATTAAGAAAATGAACATTCTTACGCATCGACGAATTTTCCACCATAGTGATTCTAATCGTGCTTCGCTTTGATAGTGGCACAACTAAAAAAATTATTTGTTTTTGCATAAATAAACTCACGTATAGTACTTTAAAGTAGGAATTCTAAGAAATTTCTATTCATCCAAATATGTACAAAAGCAAAATGAATTTAAATAATTAATGAGATCAATATATTCAGATACTAGTCAATTAGAATTAAATGTTTCACTTGTAAAATTTACATTTTTTAAGTGATGCCACTATCAACGCAAAACAACATAATAACGTTTAAATAAATGCAAATACGTGTACATTCTTCGAACATTAAATCGAAGTTATTAATCAATTATATTATTAAAAAATCTATACATGTTTTTGTAACTCATCAGCTTATATACACGATTAAAACTGGTCACCTAGTACGTTCCGTTTAACAAGTGTCTTGGTGCTACCTGCCAATGAACTAAGTACCTTCTATTGTTCTCCAAAATGGTATCGTTTAATATTACGGAACTGTTAGGTGCCTCGAGCTTTCCGAAAACAAAGGAAACCTGCGGTCGGTTAACAGGTGTCAGGGACACCGGGCTGGTGACCAATGCCGAATACCTGCCGGTTTCCTAGTTAAAGCGCGCGACCGTAATTACACAGGTGATAATAATTGCATTTAGGGTATCCTGAATCAGGTCGAAACTCGAAACAATTATAAAGCGATTTAAGACTGTTCTACTTAACATGTTTGTACTTTATACTCGGGTGGCCGAGGTCCGTTAATAGCGTCATAAAATTTTCATTAAGTCTCGATTAAGAAGAGAGCCCGAAGCTTATTCGATCGAGGAATGTTTATCTGCATTCACCAAATCTTTATTCCGCGTTTAGTCGAGAAAGTAGTTCGACCTTGAATTGATCGAACAGACCGCAAAAAAAAAGCGCGCAAAATGAGATGCTAAGTTGAAAATTGTGTGCGTGAAATGTCAGTTCGGTTTCGATTGCGATAATGTCCGACATAAAAAGCGTTTTGTCCCTGCTATGTCAGCATTTAAGTTTGTCAGTCGACCTCTGGATGAAACCCGAGTATTTCAGGCTAGCAAAATTTAACAACACCGCTGAAAATGTTGTAAGTAGTTGAGACAATGTTACATAACCTCTAAACGCAACATTCTTGTATCTATTTATATACGTAATATGTAAGGAAGGATTTCAATCGATGATTTACTTTTTACAATAGACCACGACATTCTGGAAAACATTGAATGTCTTAAGTCATCAAGCTGTTAGAGAAAAGCAGGTTGAAGTTGATTTTCAGTGTTATGGTAAACTTCTTTAATGCTTTGTTTTACATTCGTTTAGTATAGGGATTTAAGTGGTATTCTTTGATCTCGGTTGATACTGGTTGATACTATTTCCAAATTGAGTCTATTTTTAGATACTGTTTTGGCTACCAAGTTGTATTTTGCATATTTACAATATCCCGGGATTGAGTTGTATGCTTCAAACGAGAATGATGAAAGCAGTAGACAATTATTATTAGCATTTGCATGGCTTCTTGGAACTCAAAATGCTCTGAATATTGTAGTTCAAATGAATCTGGCCAACAGTGTTCTTGGAAAAGAATGTTCAAACTTGAATAATTCAGAAGTAATATATAATCTGAACATTAAACAAGTTGGGATATGAATTTAGAGATATTATAGTTGATATACTTTTCAGAAAAATGAAATAAAATACAATGTACCAGAAACAACGATTTCTCAAGTAAATAACATAATACATTTAAATGGTAAAATAAATTACAATATAAGAGAGATCTCTGAATTAACTTCTGAAAGAGCTAACTTAGTAAGCAGAGTTCATGCAGCAAGTAGTAATGTTAGTGGTCTTCCTCATTTGAGTGTATCAGAACTGGCTCTAATAAAACGTATTGCAACTGCTAATAACAATGTATTATCCAAAGAAGATAAAAAATATTTAAAGAAATTATCTGCTATTGGAAGTTTACTGGAACTTCATATGAAATGGATGAGAAAAGAACACATATTCTTTGAATGGATGGTAAATTAACGAACCGTCATGCTGCTTTTATACATTAGACACTTAAACGCATAATACAATGATGGTCAAAACAATTTTCAGGTAACAGTAGTGCAAGAGCACACTAAGTCTCTAAATTCGGGTTCAAGTCAAATAAACTGGAATGAAATTTTAAAATTCATTTCTGTGTTACACCGTATTATGCAGGAGAAGCTTCAAGTTTTACCTTCCAAAGGGAACACATCACGCGAGAATCACAAGTCTGAATGCGTGTCGCGTTTACTGAGAGCTCAAAAGGGAAACAAGGAAATGGAGAGTTGGTTGACAGAGATCAAAGTCGAATTAAATGAAGAAACCAAAGATCTAACCAAGAAGCAGGAGAAGCTCTCTGAAGAACTGAAAAAACTTCTACGCTTGATTCCTTCCTGTATCCAACTTTAATGTTTATAAGAAAATAACAAAAAAAAAGAGGAGCACAAAAATCATGCCGTACAATTGAACACATAAAACTTACACATACAGAATACTATTAATGAAGTCTTATCGCAAGGTTGTACCAGTATCTCCTGAGGTCACGTTGGAATGGTTGTCACTTGGTCAACCACCCCGAAGGATGAGATAAAAACGTTAAGAATGGTCACCAGGAATATACCGATAACCGTACAATTATTTGCTCGTTCGGCTTTGCACATTTGGGCAGTGTCTTTCACGTTGTATCTGCTGTTCCAGATTAGACCTATCCCCACCGCGATTTGCAAGAATAAACTGGCGCCTATCATGACCAGCGACGGGTAATAGTACGGATGTCCACCGTCTGTCTGCAGAACGTAACGCAGTTGATTCGCATTGGCGGACAGAAGAGCCAGATCCATCATTCCCTGAGCGAGCGTTTTCTTATGCTGATAGATATTCACGTCGGGAATCGGTTGAAGCGGAGGTACCGGGAAAAACGGGGTTCTGCCATCCGGAAATATCGGAACATCCGGGGTTCGAGGAGCTTCCGGCAGTAGGCCATCGTCTATCCCTCGATGATCGAACCCGATCGGTGGTTTTCCCTCCGGTTCGAGGTCATTGATCTCTGGTCCGGACGTTGGCCGAGGATTATTCGTGTTGTCTGTCTCTAACAAGGAACCCAATCGTGGCCTGATGGTGGCCTCCAGCTCTTTGGACGTTAACGGATGGTTCACTTCATCCCTGATGTCGTCCATGTACAGAATTTCATCCCCGTTCATTTTCAGTCGATCCATGTTTCTTTAATTCTTCGTTAATTACAGTACAGTCTCTTTATACGATTCACCGTTCGAGTTTGGTATTTTTAGGTGGGTCACAAGGATTTCTAAGGAGCGCCCATGATGCACAGATGATGCACGATACCGGAAGTCCAACATCAGAGTAGACAGTATTAAGATTCACCAATAAGTCCTCTTGTTTATCGCGCAGAACGATCGTAATTGCATTACAGTCGCGAGAACGGATAGTCTGCGGTTTATATTGTCTACCCTTGTTGAATTCAGATGCGAACACTCATCGTTTGTACTGTCGCGTATACGACGATAGAAATCTTCGTGCACCCGCACGCGCACCACCGTCGCCGTGGTCAGACGGAACCGATCTGCTGGTCGCAGATTGATCGACCCCTCTATTTACTAAGTCTAACAGTTAGCAGCTGATTCACGGTCGTGCTCGTGATGTCACCGTTGTAACGTCACGATCCCCTTCGACACTGGTTTTACCAGTTCCGTGAAGGCCGTTCGTTTCATTAATTAAAAGTATGCCGTGCCCTATGGCCGTGCCATGTTACACGTTTCATTCAACGCACTTGTTCTCACAGTCGTTAGATGGTATCTCAAAGAACACGCCGAACAACTGCATGCGACGCTTGGTTCTTTTTCCTTTGTTGCAAAGAGACTGTACTCGATCAATGCGTAGAGTACTTTGTGTTAGACCAATCGGTTGACTGTATCACTTTTCAATCACAATCTAGATTCTAGATTGTCACTGCTGCAAGGAAAACTATTAGGAGCGTGCTACTGCCACGTGCTTCCCCGAGGCATGCTTGAAGGCACTCTTCTAATCCTTCGAGTAATAGAAACTTGGCGTGCGACGAAGTGGTAGGGGAATGGCATTGCTCCAACAGAACCTTGCGAGATCTTGGATATACTATAAATAATGTGTAATAGTCGTTCGTGGAATTAGCGAAACGACGACGTTAAATTCTGTTGAAAATCCAAAGAAAAGGTATTTAGAAGGCACCGTCGTATTTCGATTTAAGCGATTCGACGAGTAATTTTTGGAACAAATCATATGCATCAGTAAGCTGAAATCTTTCGACAAAAAAATTTATCTAAGAATTTCTGTAAAGATACCTGCAAGACTTTTAGAACAAAGTTTGATGTTAATAACTATCTCTAGAACCACATAAGCTACCTAGTTATCAGCGACAGGTATCATTATCCTCTGTACACGACACCGAACCATGACGCTCCAAATTTTTCATCCTGCGCGGAGGATGTGTATAAAAGAGGTTCGCCGTATTTTCTGCGTGCTCATCAATGATTCAAGGTACGCGCTACCAACACACAGTTCTTGCCCTCTGTGATTGTGTAACGATATAGAAAACCGTAAATTGCATTAAGAAGTTTCCTCGTTGCGAACGGTGGTCTCGCGTGAATCTGTTTCGGGGAATCACTATCGAGTCTTTTTATTTTTGTACGGGAACGAGTGAATCATGTACACGTTATACGTATTCCACGTCATTTAAATGGTACTGTATTAGTTCTACTCGAGAGGAATGTATTTTCAGTCAACCTGGATCGCGTTGACTAGTGTCCTAAACAGTTAGATCCAGGGACCCCGAATTAGTCGCATTGTGCTTCACGATATCTAAAATTATCCGGCGCACGAGAGTCCGTTTCTGTATAACTATATGGAACCCTGGTATCGAGCTAGCCCGTTGTCAAGTAAACAACCGTTAACTGAGATCAGGGAAGCAGCATTCTTCCAGTCGCGTTCGAAGCGCGGAATTAGTTACACGAGCCACCGTGTAGAAGCTTTACAAATGTGACACACAAATATGCAGAAGATTACGATTCCTTAACATTTTCCAGGCTTCGTCTCAGATTATCCAGTTTAGTTGGGCCGGATAATTGTCAATCAGTTTAGATCTATGAAAAAAGTAACGAACACTAATTATGAAGAGTCAGAAGTGCTGCGCTCACTGCCCAGGAATGAAGATCCGTCCAGAAACCAACGAATCTCACGAATGCTGCCAGCCCAAGTACGTTTCCGGGAACATAAGAGTACCTTCTTTGACCAATCACGTCACGGACTATCCAGCCACACAGAAGAGGAACGATCATCCAAAACCGCCAACAGAAGATCGACCCTCCTGCTACGACCATTTTGCCATGGCGAAGAAGCTCCACGCGGAGAACCTGGAGCATCAGCCGTTGCCCGACAAAGTTGACGATTCCGTGTTCAAGAACGTCACACTGAAGAGACCCTGTCGACGATATTTAGACGGAAAACGGTGCAGCTGTTGTAGTCAAGAAACCGACGAGATCGCGGGGAAATCGACCAAACAATACAGATCAATCCTAGGCTGCAAAGAGCCAAAAACGAAGATGGACTTGGCGATTTGCTGGGACACCCCTGTAGATCCTGTCTACGAGTCACCAAGAGCTACTCATATCGACGGTTCGGAAGGTGGACAAGCTCCGGCAATTTTCACGTTGGTACAACGTAGCTTGAGCTCCCCCAACTGTATTCGTTCCAGTGGCAATAACGAGGATTGCTATCGACCAAGCCATTCCCAGAACGATGATCATGAAAGAAGATCATGTTACGATTGTAGCTGCAAGAACCTGAACGGGATGAAAATTTCGAAGAAGGATCGACCGGAAGAACGAACCAGAAGTGCTACTTTCCGAAAATGTGTGGCCTGCGAGCAGAGAAACTTTAAGGATGATCCTAGACAGACCAAGTCCGCCGTGGGGCTAGCGTTAGGTGTCGAAAGAAGGGGGAACGATCAGGAAAGGAGAACGGCAGTGTCAAGACCAAAGACTCCTTTCGCTAGGAGGTCCTTTTCTATCGATACTCTGGTTCCTCCCCTCAGTGTTATGAAAGGACAAAGGGACGCTGATTACCCGGAGCACTGGAGACTCATGTCGGTTTACCAACAGTCTTACAGAAACCCGTATAGGCGGAGGGACTATCGTTGCTAGATCATGTGGGGTGTAGAGTAGGAATTTCCGATACAGATGTAGGAGATTCCGATGTTTCGAGATCATTCTGACGAAACAATACACAGGTCCTTTTGCAGAATATCTGGTGAGAGTAGCTACACTAAGGCACCGAGTAGCTAACATAAGACCTTTTGTCTCCACATACAAAATGATTCCATAGTGAAATCAGCAGTTGCTTAACCCCCACAACGTTAGTTTATGAGAAACACTATAAGATAGAGAAGAAACGTAAGAAATTTAACTTTAAAGAATGACGCTGTCTGACAATTCAAAGAAAGATAGAACTACAGTTCTCCCCGGTCCCTGTCGGTCTTCTTCATCCGCTTTATGCTACTGATATTGATATATTGATGCCTGGGCGAGGTGTGCAGATCATGGGTTTTCCCTAATATCGGGCTGTTCTCCAGATTCTGGAGGGCAACGTTCTGCAAGCGATTCAACAGGTCCGGATATCGGGATATGTAACGCCGGAAGTCGCCGCGATCCAACACGCAGATCTCGCAGGTCTCCACCGCGATCACAGTGGCTATTCTTAGCTCGGTTTCCATCACCAGGGCGATCTCCCCGAAGTAACTTCCGTCCTCCAGATGGCAAATCTTCCAATGGTGTACCGGTAATGAAATATGTAATGAACGATGGCGAAGCAAGGTCGATTGGATGTCCCAATACGGTTCAAGTATAACGTTTACTTCTTTTCCTGTTGATGTGTAGATCGCCACCGTGCCGGAGGTAATAAAATAGAGGGATTCGCCACGTGTACCAGCTTTAACGATCTTGTCGCCGGGCATATAGATCTCGGAGCGCACCGAGCTGGCCAGCTGCGCCACCACGCTTTCCGGCAGATACTCAAACAATTTTACGTTGCTGATCAGCCTCAGATAATTATGTAAAATGAGCTCCTGGAAGCGGATGATTTTCGAAGTTTCATTAGACTTCCAACGGCGACCGACTATAAAACGGTGATTATTGATCGGTTCGATCTATGATTAGACCACAGCCCCGTACCTCCCTCAAGCAGGGCGAGACCTCTTCGATGATCTTTTTGTCCCTCTCGAAGCGTTTTTTGTTGCGGTAATGGTAGTACTCCAGTAAACGACGTTGTAACGCCTGCGGGAGCTCCTTGTACCGCATGTATTCTTGTAATTGTTGTACGATCTTCAGGTTACGCTTGATCGTTATATGAAACGTTGTCAGCAGGTCCGAGAATTGGGCTGCGAGACGACAGTTTTGTTATTCTTTATAATATATATATATATACTTGTATGAAAGAATGTTTGCTGTTTTTTTTTTTTTTTGGTACAATAAGTCGAGCTGTGCTTACTTAATACATACACGAAACCAATGAACCCGGTTACCGTGAGTATCAGGTTTAATATAATATCTTCCGGCGTTTTCATGTCCAGATAGTGGGCGGAACGTAATAACGCGGTTACGGCGCGGTTCATGCATAGTATGTATTGTTCTCTGGTCGTGGTCTTGGACAGAAAAGACTCCGATTTGATCCAGGATCTGTAAGAGGAAATTTGTCAGCAGAAATTATGTCCACAGTGCGATAAATAATTAACAGTATTCACTCGTTGCTCAAAGTGCCCAAATAGTTGACGGACATGGGAACATAATACTCCAGGCAACTGGCCCAATGTATAGTCATGAACACGATGAGGCTTGTGTCGAGTATCTTGTGCAACTGATACTTGATACGGTACACCTGAAACATCGAAGCCATTGTAATTGACGAGCTTTGTAAAAACGTCATTCGAAGGAAAACTAACGCCGTGAAGTCTATGGGAGTACACGGTTATGTTTCGAATCCGTAAGAACTTCATCATGTTCAGAGTGGTGCAAAACCATGTCATATTGGGCATAACCATTTGGATTAGCCCTATCGGCGGCGCGGTCAATACATCTACCAGGAAGTACTTCCTCAGGTACTTGCTGCGTAGAAACAGAAAAACCCTTTTCGTTGATTTTGTACAAGATTGCTCGATAGACTTCGGTCTGTTATTACGATTACAATCGAATTAACGTACAGCGCTACTATCCTGGGATCGAGGACTATAACCTTCGTCCGGTAGTCGTAGTAACCCGTGAAGAACCATACTATGATGTCGCAAAAAAATACGATGTTCATCACATCGTTGAGCAGATGCCAGTCACCCTGATGATTGAAGTAGAACGTGATCGAGACTGGTGTGATCAGAAGGGCCACGATCGTGAACAGCGTCATAAATAATTCCCAGAAGATACTGTCAAATAGCCACGCAGTTACAACAATTTGGCGGAGGGGAAAAAGAGAACAGAGAAATATGTTAATGTTTCGAAGAGATGGGTAGACTCAATATATCACTCGGACAAGATATCACTCGGCGGCTTTAGAAGAATCAACAAATCAAAGTCACATATAAGAATTTCTACCCATCTCTGATGTTTCGTAAAATTCGATCAACCAGAATGAACTGAATGGATGAATCATATAGGGATGGGATTTCACGTGTCGCGAGATCTCGTAATTCACCGCGGTCGTGCTTTTCAAACTCCAGTGCGTCAAATGATGCTTTCGCGATAAAATCCGTTTGCGTAAGAACCAACGCTGCAGTCGCGCGCCAATCGAATTTCCCGGCATCACATTCTCCACTTCGTCCTCTTCGCTCGGTTGCTCGCAAACATGCTGGATCACCGGTGTAGACTGTCGTGTAAAAAGGAAAGGAATTTTCGATTAATATAACAATATAACATTATGCCATTTATTTACACCGAAACCAGTAACGGACAATATACAAAACTCTCAAAAATCGACGTACCTCGACGTTTGGCGCCTCCGAGAAGTGGGGAACGTAAGCCATCAAATCCATGATTGATCACGATCGCAGATTTGAAAAAAAACACCGATTACCCGGTAACAAACAATAAATTATCCACCGACGGACTAATCTCTGCTTGAAATTATTCGATCATAATCGTTAACTCCCTGTAAGCACTGGTGATAAATTTGTAATAAATTTTCATACAAGCTAGTCATATATTTAAGAGCACACACAGGGATATTAATAACAGAACACCGTACGAAACAAATAAAGCAAATCCGTATTGAAAACGAAAGTAAATATACGAGACAAATTTAATACCTATTGCTAAACATTAATTGTCAATTCTTCGATGTTTTACTGTAGTTAGAATACTTCACGGCAAACGTATGTATTATAGGTAGACCTCGAATTTGATGCATTTACAGCGAAACGCAATAAAAGAACAACTGTAGTGAAGTTCTATTATATTTTCATATTACTTTTAATCCAACGGCAATCCGTAGTAAATTTTTATGTAACTACTGTTCTTGTAAAACAGTTTACAAAAATACGTTAGCATAAAAGGGTCCATAGTTTACTCACTAAACATTAGCATCCGTCGCTATTAACCACTCACGAAGCCACTAAATGCAAAATCCATGTGTTGTGTGTGTAAATACGTGAGAGAAGAATATTTGAAACATAATGTATGTTGATTATTTGCTATTCTAACGATTTCGATAATATTTTTCAGGTTCATTCGGTTCTGTGAATAACCGCGTCGTCGATTTTGATATGCGCGTAAAGCACGTGACTCGTAAAAACAGCTGTATCACAGCTGAGCGATGTTCTGAACGTCGTATAAACGTTTCATGTGAACCCGCGGATTAAAGTCCGGGCTTCCGGGTTGTCGAGGGTTTCAACGGTCAACAAGCCGTTTCGCGACGCTATTTTATTACGTCCATGCAGTAACGATAACGTCCGACAATAAGGCTCGTATACATAACATGACAGATCTGGAAAGTATTCACTTACCCATAGACGTAAGTCCTTTCTTTTTTACAATCAATTACGTTTCAGCCATCGTTTAAACAATTTTGGGATTCTTTTCCCGAATCGTTTCATTATTTGTATTCGTCTTTGCTGCGGTGGTAAAAATTTCTCTTAAATAAATCGATACATTAACCTAACAACAGAAGATTCATCTATAAAGAAACACGATTTAAAACGGTTTACGAAGGTATTTCTCTCATCTCAAAACAGTGAGAAATAAGTCATTTTGCTTTTAGATAATTATACATATATTGTCGTACCTGCCCACATCCGATAGGATGTCAGCAAGACTAGTCAGCCACTCTTGGAGGGAGGCATCACTTGCTATGAAATTTGTGGACCAAGAAGCATTGGTCCTTGGTCGACCGCGTGCATACAATTTATGTCGAATAATGGAGATATTGCAACATTCTACTCGGCCGTTTTATCACTTTGTCTTTAGAGAAGTGGAATTAAAGAAGAATATGCCAGTCTGGGATCAATATGGACCGCATATGAAGAGTCTTGTATTGGTACAATATATCATTTCTGAGAAATAATGCAGGGATGGAACAAATATAGTGACTTCTTTGGACTCATTTAAGTGGCTTATCAAGTGATACTTTTTCGTAGTACAGGGTATCATTCTATGGACACTTTGATATTAAGTTTAATTTGTATTATCTGTTTGCCAATCTAAACCTATATCTCAAAGTTCTTGATATCTAATACTTAATAACTTTATCATTTGATACTCTACTGTGGTTTGCGAAGTCAGTATATTCCTTTTATCCACAATGTGGACTGAATTTTGTTGAAATTTTTTCCTAATTGTGTGCACTTCTTTTTTAGTTGTGCTGTGATTTGAGTGAGAAAACACTTGTAGAGATTCTTAAATACTGTAGCTCTTTAAAAGTATTACGAATAAATGCCTGTCGAGAATGTCTAATGTCTGGTAGACTACTGGAGGATGAAAACGACATAAAAGAGCTCTCGGAAACGTTTCAAAACCTGCAGGAGCTTAGTCTCGGTTATAATAGATTTTTGAGCGACGCTCTGTTTAATAGACTCGTTTCTATTTGCTTGAACTTGAAATCCCTAAGTCTTATGGGTTGTCAGATCTCGTTCCACAGTGGATTATACAAGAAATTTTATCCTCGAAACAGGATAACATTGCCGGAGGCTTCGAACTCGGTTCTGACTTTTCTAAATACGTTACACTACCTGAAACGACAAGCACACAAATTGAAACATCTGAATTTCGGGTATACGCTAATCGATGGAACTGCTTTGGCTACTTTGTCATCTGTAGAAGATCTGAAACTCGAGTCTTTAATGTTGCAAGGCTGTTATCAATTGACTATCGAGGGCATCAAAGGTCTGACTCAGCATCAGACGAGTTTAAAAGTTCTTGACCTTAGTTTTTGCGTACGAATCACGGATGCTAGTTTACTTTGTATTTGCAAAAACTTGACAAAGCTAGAAACACTTAGAATAAAACGGTGTCGTGCAGTTACCGACACTGGTGTACAGTATATTCGATTACTTGAAAACTTGAAAGAACTCGACATTTCAGAGGATGAACAACTTACCGGAGACTGCATTACTCATGGACTTTGTTCCAATCACAGTACAGACGATAACGTTACCGAAGAACACATCCATTTCAGTATTTTCAATTGTAGATCCATAGATGAAGATTACGATATGGAAAAGATTGTACAAAAGAGGAACATGCAGATATTTTCTGCAAATGCATTGCATCTTCACGAAGAGTCAGTTGAGTGTATATCTAGATCGTTTCCTAATTTAAGGGTACTCGAGCTCAGCTATTGTTTTAGCGGTGTCACAGATAAAACAATACAGGTGTGTGACTAATTTTACAGGCGTGATTTTGTCTACTTAGCGTGTCATGCAACACATAAAGAATGTTACTCGAACTAATAGAAACTAGAGATCATTCCATCTAGGTTCCATGCTGATTGTTTTCCTGAACTTTCAGAAATTGCTAAAAGTTAAAAGAGAGTCGCTGTAAATCATGTATTTTTGTACCAGCTCAGCGATGAGGTTGAAGTATATAAAAGTAAGTTTATCTTTTATAGATGATATTCAAGGAGCTTGTACATTTGCAAACATTAAAAATAAGCCATTGCGATAAGGTCAGCGACGTCGGCTTAACGGGTATGGGCGCTGGTAACCATGAAAGTGTCGAAAGCATACAGGTGGTATATAAACCAGAGATCACAGAAACGAGATTGAGAATTAGCTTACGATCGAGAGCCGAGGAAGAAATAGTACGCGACGCCGATCGGAAACGAGAGGTCATGAATCTCTGTGAGAATGTCTCTAGACCGTTAGACATGAAAACTGGATTTTCATTGATTAGGCTTAAACGCCTTCGGGAACTAGATCTTTCCGGTTGCAATCGAATCACCGATGTTAGTTTGAAACATGCATTTGCTTTCCCGGAATTGAAAATCTTAAACTTGAGTCAATGCCAACAGGTAGATAAATATTCGTTCAAGTTGCCATGCTATCTCTAAAGCTATAAACATTTCGTGTGCATCAACTGTCATATATTCCTCTAACTTGATGCTACTTTGTTGCAGGTAACACACGTGGGATTGGATTATTTATCCAGGAACAATCCAGCAATCGAAGATCTTAATCTGAATCAGTGTCATAATATATCGGATATTGGAATATCGTATCTGGCACAGAGACTGCACAGATTAAAGCGGCTTCTTATACAGGTAATATATAAAGTGGGGAACTATCAAGAATTTTTATACACATTTAGTTGGACTATTCTGTTCTAGGGTTGTTCACAACTCACGGATCATACTCTTGACTCCATTAAAGTGTATTGTAAGAGTCTTCATTACTTGGACACACGTTACTGTCGTGGAATGACAGTGGCTGGTCTCGAAAGCTTAACACATCTGTATGTCGATTGGATCAAACATATCGATGATATTGTCTCACCTGAGAATGAAATACTTCCACCACCAGCACCGCCTTTACCGTCATTACCTTCTTTACCATAGAGACGACTTCAATACTTGCTTTCGCATTTTAAAGACAGGGTAAGAAAAACTTGAAGTATTATTTAATGAAAGTTATAAGCACATAATGTTTTAAAATGGACGATATAATTAAACAAGAGAGGTATAGTATGGAATAAAATATTGTACGGTCCATTTTAAGACACGCTGTGTATTTGTAAGGTTTGAGTCGATTGAATGAAATTTGAAAAGGTACGCCAGCAACTTACCATTTCCATAGAGAATGACTTGAGCTCGAATTTTAAAGCTATTATCGGGTGTTAACAGTCCGAATTAATATTTTATAATTATCACTGGAAAGCACAGAGCGAACCATACCTTTGCGCATGATGATTAACAATAATATTTGACATTCTACACAAGGAAATTGTACATAAAGTTGTACAAAGGAGCAATTGTACACTTAAAAATATTTATCTAAATATGTTTATAATTATGTAGATAAGAGAGATACAGAGGCAATTGTAGCGTGTACTATGTCAAATATTTAGGCAACGATTATGACGCTTTACTAGAGAGATATTTCTAATAACATTAATTAAAACTTGAGCAATTTAAGGAAGTATTTATTGATCACTAATATACAAACTAAAAGGTAATTCAATGTGTGTTTATAAAGCATCGAGTGACAATGTGATTGTGATTGCGTGCAATAAATAAGCCAAAAAAGTATTTAAGTAACAAAAAAAATTCATCGCTAATTTATACATAACTAAAAAGTGACTAATAAGAATGTTATAGGTAATTTTACAATTTTTTGACGTGTTTCTATTACGTCCAACGTTACAGTTTGATTAACATTGAAGCTTATAAAAATTATAAAACTATTAATTATATATATATATATATATATGTACAAAAGTTTACATGTGTGTTAAATAATTATAGCTTTATGGTGGTATAGCTATAATACAGGTACCATACAAAAATCAAATGTGAAAAACGAAAAAATCTTTACTTACATTAAAAACGATTGAATAATATTACGCTTCTGTTAAGAAATAGTTGTAATACTTTTTAAAGTGATCTTTGGACAAAGATTAATTCCACGGGATATAGTACAAAATAATATGAATAGTCATATTAGAAGTAGACTCCAAATATTTTTGCTGCCATTTAAATGGACATAAACGTAGTAATTTTTCATACATAATGAATCCGCTTTTTGAAAGCTTACGAAATAAATTATATTATTGTATGAAATACACTATAATTCGAAATAACGGTGTGAGTAACTTGTCTCTTGGCAGATTATTGAAAATGTGTATGTAGTCATTAAGACATATTACGGTATACACTTAATTTTTGTAATCTCACAAGATTCATGTATTTTTAATTTATAACATAAAATTCATTCTATTTATTGAACTATGTACCATTGTACACAATTCATGTGATATATATGTGTGTATACATCAAGGATAAACCGTGTGAGTCAGGATACATAGTTAACAATAAGACTATGTAAACAAGTTCTAAATTTTATTTAAAAACAAACAAGTTTAACATTGTTTTTAATGGTAGTTAAACGTCTATTCGTGTCGAATAAAGCAATTTCGATGAAAATTGTGACTTTTAAAGATACATCATTATACTTTTAAAATAATCGTTTTGTTTGATGTGTTGTATTTATCGTGACAGTATTTGTTGTTAAAGGTCGGAATAAAGTTAATTTTCATTCGTGATACAGTACAAGTACGCGTGAATGTTGATTTTCCAAGGTGGATACGTAGGCGAATGAAAACTATGAACGTTTGTCAGCATTTCTTTTTCGACGTTCAGATGTGTCTCAATCAGGCTTCGTTAATTCTATTCTAACTAGTATCTTTTATAGTTAGTAGCAAAACACGCAAATTCATAAACAGTGAATGACGAATCGTCGTTTTGTTTGTAATCCGGTAAAACCTATCCTTCTGTACAAAACATTGAATGTATCACAAAATCTGATACATACAAGAGCAGTGTAGTATCAACTATACTTTTGTACAGAATAGTCATTTTGATTTTATTGGAACGGTACTTGTAGACTGATCTTCAATGAACAAAAAAACCAGTAACATTACAGAAACAATTTATCAAGTGGCGTAAGTTATTTAAAACATTTTCCTTTAACAACAATACTCCCTGATTTTCTGTACTAAATATTTCTAATTCGATTTATTTAATCTCTTCAGTCCAAAATAACCGTAATTTGACATTATTAAGGAGTTCATAGAATATCAATAACAAGTTTCCGTTTTACACCAATTCAGAACAAAGAAGTTGTGTGAAATCCACATATACTTTGTATTGTAAATTTAATGACAAACACTTACGAGTTAAGCAATAAGATTAAAGTAAACACGTGGATAAGTAATGTAACTATGGATTAAATCTATAAAACTATAAAATGTGTTGAAATCGACTTCAAAATGAAAAGAAAGTAAAATACATAGGAAATGTATGGTTGACACTTCACTGTACATGGAATTACATAATATATACGAAGGTTCCTATGAATTTGTAATGTGATACATTTCTCGACAAATGAATATAGAAAAAAACTCTACTTATTGGTAAATTATAGTAACGTGTTAATGCGATAAGAATACAATGTACTATTCTGATAATATTATTTTCTGATAGACACAAACTTAAATCATCAATGTGTATGTTAGAGGCTCAGGATTAAGATTTCAGTGTTAAATGTAACATTATCATTTTTTATTGCAACCATTTAATTCAAGGTATAGTTGATTAAAAGAACAAATAATTTTCATTGAGAAACGAAAATGTTTGAATTTCTTAAACTATGTAGAATCTAAATCTAACAGATACACTGAACATTTAGCTCTATCTATCGATATTTCACACATCTACAATTTCATCCCTCCGCTCTATCTTTCTTCTTTGATGAATTTAAAAATTAAGATAATTATATTTTTCAAAGAATCAAATCACTATCAATTAAAAGCAGCTGCATTATCCATTAAAAATAATATTTAAACGAAGATTCACTGAAATCTTATCTTGTTATCACTTCTTCTCCATTAAACCTTGTACCGCAGCGAAACAGTAATTATGAAAAGTATAATGACACGTTAAACAAATGATTTAACATGCTGTTTTATGTATATGTATAGATTTATATACATATATTTATGCACGTATCGCACCGTGTTGTATTTAATTTCTAATACTGTGCTCTACACACACACACACACTATGTAAAAAAATGTTACTTCTCTCTGTTAGGTGGATATTTTTTTTTTTTGTAAAATATCCTAATCCGTATTTCTTTATCGATTCGACAATCATCCGCGTAATTATGTACAAATTACTGAAAACAGGACTTATTCCTCTTCAGATACATACTCGATGCGTTCTTTTTGTGTTACAATATTCTAGCAACAGCTCAATGTTGTTGTACACATAATACCGGGTAGTTTCATCACCGTGACGACAAACACCTCCACCCCCTTCTGATCTAGATTACATTTGTTTTGGTTCTTTCACCTCTGTACTTTCTTCTTCAAGGAATTATAATCGAACCACTGTGCGTGTATCTCAACTCTTGTTCTCTCTCTCTCTCTGTCTCTCTTTCTTTCTACGCGTACTAAACTGGTCATAGAGTTCGTAGCATCATACTGTTAATTAAAACGAAGGTATTACCAACGAGGTAATTAAAAATCCAGCAGTCTTGCTTCCATGGCTAAAATGAAAAAACAATTATATGTATAAAGGAATTTCGAAACAGATGATGAGTTAACGTCAGTCTTTTCTAGCGGAAAAAATTTCTTGCAAGCCCCTTCTTAGTTAAGCTATTTTCCTTAGAAGGAAAAAGTCATGAAAGTCTGTAGTCTTCTTCCTTTAAATACATCGATTTAATTTTTTTTACTGCGTTTCTGAACGTGATAAGAATTCGTCCATATTATGCATTTGAAAGAAATGAACCTGACACAGAATAACTGTTAATAACTAACGGACGAAAATATTAAATTGATTGTATAGCTTTAAAAGACAGAGAGTGCGTAATAGTTTAAGGATATATTTTTTTTTCCTTGTAACTTAAATAACTCTTTGGACATGATTATTAATATTCTTGAACTTGTTATCGTAATTTATACAAAAATACGTTTAAAAAAGTATACGTTCGTACTTTTTGACTGAAACCAAGTTCAGTTTAGGATTGTAACTTGTGGACCAAACACACCGATGAATACACGAGACATATCTACGAAAAGTAAAAAATATTTGTACATTTATTTTAAGCAGTATTGCGTATTACGTGTTCATATAATTTATCTTTTGAAAATATAACAATGTCTTATAATCATCTTTTACAATTGAGAGGAAACAAAACACATTAAGCATGCTTCAGATAGGCATTTCCTAATTTAGGAAAAGAACAGAAGAATACATATTTACTATCCATAGATACACCTTAACTTAATATGTTTTGCACATTTCTACGTTTCTTATCGAAATGTAAACTTTCTTAGATCGTAACGAAATCAAGATAATAAATTACTTATATTTAACATAATCATAAAGGTTCCAATTTAATAAATTTGGTACAGTGTTACAATTTTACGACAAGTTTTACTACATATATATATATATATATATGTATTTACAAACAAAAGAAAAATAAATAGTTTCACGGACAGACAATGACTTTACAATGGGTCGACGTTCACAGAGAACACACGAATGTCGTTCATCTTAGGAAAAAAATACGTTTTGCGCGCAAATTCGTTTTTAGTATAAAAATATAAGCTGACGGTATTAGCGTTTTTTTTTTCCTTTTTTAGCTACATAATTCCTTGATGTACAAGAATATCCGTGTTTAAATTGTTCACGTATACTACACTTTTATTGCAGAAAAATGCGAGTACAAAAAATACGAATTTCGTATATACTTTTTTAAGGTTATTCACGCGTAGGACCTAAGCAGGTACACTCGAATCCCCGTAAATAATGAGATCATCGGAGATTACAGATGACTGTAACTCATACTAGTCTGAAAATATACAGAAAATTCTACCGATGCATTCAACAATTTCTAAATTGTTCACATTATCAAAACAGGCTGAAAAACCCTTTGATAAATCTTTAAAATTGAATAAAGATAGGAACTTCGAAGTTGAACCGTACAATTGACGAAGTTTTTAGGCACTACATAACTTGTACCCCGTTGAGTAGTCAGAATGTTCATGAAATTACAATGCGCATTGGTAATCGCGATATTGCGATATCAATAAAAAAAAAAGAGTATCAATAAAAGCAAGTCACAATGTAGCGGGGTAACTTTTCTGTAAAAATATTACAATCGAATTTGGATCCGTTCATAGCAGCAAATCCAGAGGATTTTATGCGCTGGTTCATTTTAGTCACTACAGTATCCTCCACAAATGGACTGCGTATATTCGAGACAGCATTCTCTCCTCCGGTAATAGGTACACGTTTGTTGAGTATGTTTTCGACAAGCTCGTTGCTTATTTGGTCATCGAAATACACCAAGAACAGAGAAAGAGAAAGAGAGCATGCTCGTGCTGATCCACCGAGTAATAAAACACACTGAAACCAAAGCATTGGACGCAACAGTGATCTAAACCTGCAAAAAATATCTATCCTAAGACAATTTCTTTTTATTGGAAAAGGAAGCGGAACCTCATCGAAGAACAATCTCGATAGGATAATAATAACAATCGTCAACGATGATGCGTTAAGTGATGAATTACTATGAAAGACATATCATTAACATGACCTGATATTGAATCAACAGAACAATGGAAAGATAAGGCTTATTAGTCTATGTTAGATTCTCTTCTGATCCGAGATATTAAAATACAGTAATGTCTCTATTCGGTGGTAATAAAACTACAGAGCAGTTTCATTAGAAAAATGATTCATTTATAGTTAATATGGTATAATAATACTCAATGATTCGTATTAATACTAGTAATAGTTATATTACCTTGCATAGGAACTGCCTACAAATACTACAAACGATCTAGTACAAAACGGTTCACTATGACCACGGAGGAAAGATTTCTGAAGCATTGCTGTATTGTTATTCTATGTAGAGTTCGAATATTTCTGTGATCTAAAACAGACTAAGTGACTCACCATTAGCAAAAAGACTTTACGATGAAGTGTTTACGACGTTTCTTAAAGAAGCGAGAAGCGAAGCTTTGCTGTCCTCCATATCTAGAGGGTCCGAAGCATAGAGACTGTTTGCTGTTCCGTCATCTACTGAGCTCGTTACAGGTGATGCAGCATTCAAGAAAATGTCGTCGTCAAAATCTAGTAAATTTTGCGTTGGGTTGTACGCCATAAGTTCTCCTCCGGCCGTCCCGTTAACGTTATCAGCATCTGCAACATAAACGCACGTTTTCTAAAACGAAGGAGAATTTTCTATAAATTTAACTGTCAATAATCTTACCATTAGCGTGATCATCGTCCTCTTTCTCTGAATGTGGATTTAGTTCTGGATTAACAGGCATACCAAATGACATTGGATCATCTGCTCCAAATAACTACAAATATACAGAATTAATAATAAGTATTTTATGATTATACGAGAAACCATACGTTGTCTAAATACTTACACCAAGAAGTGTATTCGCATCGATACTGTAACCCTCGCCCCGAAGGATGTCACGGAGATTGTCCAAATCTGTCTGCATTGATTCGAGATGATTATCCATATCCTCCCTATAGATAATTGTTCAAAATGGATCAATATGCATTACAAAAAACAACAAGTTTACACAAGTTTATCCATATTTTTATGGAATAACAATGGTAACGTTGCAAAGCCTTTTCCTGAAAAGTACAATCTTTCTATTTGGTCAAACGACAGCACAAGCAGGTTTGTATTATCAGTCACTCGATTACAATTACTGCTTGTGCAATCAATTCGCTGGAGAACTTGCTGTGCACAAAAAAAGTTTTCTTCGTGTTTCATAATACTAATAATACGGGCTCGAGAATCTTGTAATACACGATGTTCAAAGCATTCGAGATCGGTGTTTGAAATAAAATTTCGTACCGAAGATACTCAAACCAAATTGACCATTAGTGAAATTGAAAAATCTATGAAAAACAGAACCATAATTAGACTGTACCATAACTAAAAATCTAAGGATTGTGACACTACAACTTGACATACGTAACACATCACATAAAGAAATCTATTCCACAACTTGACTAATTAAATAGGAGGATTATTCTGAACAAAACAAATTATACGAATATGGATTCAACCGATGCCTATCATTGATACATCCCCAGCACTTTGTTCCATATTTATAGAATTTTTTTTCATTCCGAATAAAAAACCTTGCCTCAGCTAAGAAAAGTTGAGTACTAGATTTTTCAAATGAAACTCAAAATACGATTGTGTTGAAATCGTTAATAAATGAACAGTACAATGATTCTGAAAGTATATAACAAGATGATACCAATCGATCGTTACTCTTCGAGCGCTACGGGAGATACCGTGAAATTCCTAGATCAAAGGCAACCATTTAGAGATCGGACGAAAAAGAAGGTCACACATTATTAGTAAAGTGTGTACTATTTAAAACAAAGCTGGTTCGAGATCGGTCGAACGATAACAAAAGAATAGAAAAATTAGTTGGATCCCACCTCTGTCTTCTGATAAAGGATTTCCACTAAGTACAAGTGGAACACGCTGGATTCAACATAATTTACCCATGGTCTGGTTTTAACTTACATTGATCCTAACCTGTGAGTGTCTGATATGGGATTGACACGGCTCAAAGATAAATCAGTGCTTGTGCTAGCTCCATTCGAGTTAGCATTCTCCTGCTCTGTGGGTTTTTCAGCACCATTTGTACAGGAAACTCTCTGCTTGGCAATATCATCAATTTTTTTAAGCTCATCATACGTGATGTCATTCCCACTAGATTTCAAGTTTTCGTTGTTCTCGCTAAATTGCACGTTCTCCTCGTTGATGATTTCCGGCACTATTAAAATATCCTCGAGCTTCAACAAATTAGAATCGTTCTCCTGAACCCCTTCCTCTGTGTCATCGATACTTTCCAAATCGAGTTCAGGCTCTGCATCGGCTGGTTTGTTCAAATTAGCTGCCATGGCTGCGAGCTTGGAACTACGCACAGTTGCAACAGGTATCGGCTTAGAAGTTGTTTTATTTTCCAGCAAAGCGATAGTCACCGGCGAATCTTCTAGTGGCATTTCAAGCATATGTGTTTCTTCCCTAAAATAGTGAAAGAAGCAGTTGCCAATCTTCGTCATCTTGAGTTACATTGTTGTAGCCATAATCTGCTTTTTAATAGGTCTTATTTACTTTCAAAAGCCGTAATTCGCTTTTGAATACATTCGTGGCTACTATTTCTGATCGATGGAAGTATTGCAAGAGCATACACAGAGACATATATGAAGCATTACATGAAAACATGCTTTCTAATTATGCAGCTAAATTATGATTGTTATAGAATTAACTTGTAATGGATAGTAATAAAGTGTCTGTATAAGTAAGCTACAAAAACAAAGAGGAGAAAGTAGTGCATGTGTGTGAAGTAGATATAAATAATAAAAAAATTACATAATACTGTTCAACTTCTTTTTGGAGATCTGTATATTATTGTTTGTAGCTTCTTCGGCAAATAATTTAATATAAAAAGTTCAAGAAAATTGATTGGATTAAATAGTAAGATAATTCGAGAATTAATTATAAGCATTAAGAGTACACGTCACAAATTGGATGTGGAGCATACTAATAATTTTCTCAGAAACATACTCATGCATGGAATAAGTTTAAACATACAATATATATTAAAGAACTTATCTTGAAACTGGATTCCACATATATTTGGGAAATATTGCATGTAGTATAACCTTATACAAATTGGATTAACATATCATGCATATGTATTTACTTAAACTTGATCAGAACAATACAGTACTAACTTTGTAAAGTAAATTATCAATAAAATAGATTGATATTCATATTATAGTAATGTTCAATTAATGTGTCAACAAGTATACTCAGAGGTATAAGTAAAATGCAATCTGTAAGATAATGCTAGTAACGATATAATAAGAATGATGATGCAATATATGAAGGGATCTAACAAAAAATAACATTTAGTTCGAAGACAAGTTGACCAAGGATTAGCAAGAATTCTCGAAAGAAAGTAAAATGCTACTGACACAATATTTTTCTTTGGACTTTAACTTCCTTCACCTAACTATATCAAAATAGGAAAATGAAAATTGATCAAATTTGGAAAGCAACTACTGAAAGTTGAAGAAACGGGCGAACTAGAGAAAATCATGTCACTTAATCAAACTGCTCAAATTGGAAAATGTTTCCAAGAAGAATATTATCGCAATGTTGTCGAACGTTCATGCAAAAATAATGGAACTAAGGAAAATGGCGATACTGTTCAAAAACAAATGTCTAAGAGAAGAATGAACACCAACACCAAAATGAAGACAAGAGAAAAATGTTAACCTCGGTTCCTCTCCATTCTTCGTTGGTGGGATCAAAATTTTGACAGGCACCTTGTTTTTCCTCCTGGCAATATTCAAATTGTGGTGATATGAGTATCACTGAGAAGTAATTAAGATTACGAACAGTACGAAGTAGTTGTTTATGAAAATTTCCCTGTTTTCTGGTTTGAGTAAGTATAAACCGTATGTAGTTCTGTCGCAATATAGTGAAACACCAAAAATTTATGTCCCTGTATCTTTAATTTTATTTTGTTAATTATTCACAACATCCCATGCATGGAAAGTGTATTGGAATGTATGAAGAAGGTTGTTTGAATTCGTTTCCATTATCGTATCTCTAGTTTCAATGAAGGATAAGCACAAATGAAATTTTAAGAATAGTTTTTTGTAGCATGATATATGTTGAAATCTTGTTGTGTTCACCGTGCAAAACTCCATCATATTATGATATCGAAATTGAAAGATTGTACATGTTATATACCACTTAACTGGATACTAAACTTTAATCGCAATAATAAAGTTTAACTTACTTCTTTTTACCCTTACATCCACGTTTCTTTCGGGCCTCAATTTCTTGTGGATTGACCAGTTGTATGTTATCCTGTAACTGAATTGAATCATCAACTAGATGAACAGTTTCCATATTGTGTTCGTCTATTATTGATGTACTACTATGTTCGGGACTTTGTACAGCTGGATTTGGATCTCCTTCCAGCATCCTAAAATAACAAAAAAATATTACATGGTGTAATGGAAGTGTTTCATCAAATATATGTAAATCAATATTAATTAAAAAAAAAAAGGCATAGCTATTGTGTTAACATACTCTGCAACAATATACTCTGAATCTAAATCCGGTTCAGATGCATCAAGTTCATGAATTACAGGCCCTGTAGGTGATGCTTGTGACTAAAACAAAAATATAAATATTGATATATGATGTACAATGATCGAGCGTATAATTAGTAAAAAATATACTACCTTTGACAGTTTTGATTGTTTACTACGTTGACGATTAGAATCGTCGATCATCAATGGGTATCTCCTTTTAACAGAGAGACCCCCACCTCTTGAAGGTTCCACCAAAGTGATTAAGAAATGTATAAGCTTAGTAACAATTTGCTGTTGTTTCAGGTGCTTTTGCCTAAGCATTGCTAGTTCCCTCCATAAGGCTTCGTTCTCTCTTTTCATGGCTCCAAGTCTCGAGTCTAAATGTTCCTGACGACCCCTCATACTCCTCACTTCTGTCAGCATCTTATTCATTAATTCCGGTTTAATGGGTGTAAGTGCCGGATCTTGTCCTCTGCTGGATGCAATCTAAATAAATCGTGATAAAACATTGAAAGAACCATTCGCACAAACAGCAAGGTATGGATTCTTACTTTTCTCTTAATGTGTTCCACAAGATATGGATGTCCCTTGCAAAAGAATTGATGTGCAAATTCCATTTCATCTCTGTCGCATTTCAGACCACCCAGTTCCACAGAAACCTTCTTGTGAAAACCATCTAAAACATGCATTCACATATGTCATGAAACATAAATAACACACATAGTTTCAATAATATACATAGTTTCTTCGATTGCTACATACACATATTCAACTGACGGACAAAACTGGCCATGTTATTGTGTTTGTAATAATGGGGCAGCAATTCTCTTGCAAACTGTGCCTGATTCCTAATAAAGAAACTTCTTCCACTCTAGAACAAAACAATGAAGTTACATTACATTGTCTGTGTAATGGAATAATAAGAACTGTATCATTATTGATTTGCTGAAATTCGCTTCACGATCAAACAAAACTGCAGATAAGAGACATAACTTCGAACAGATGTTTCTTATACTAGTCTAATACTAATATTCTTTTATTTCTTATATTAGTTAATAATAATAAAATTAGCCCAGTCCTGGTGAAGTTTATTGTCATTCTTCGTTAAAGACCGATTTGCAAAATTCTCAATAATTCGTCGAAAGACTATAAAAACGTGAAACGAGAATTGCAATTTGTTAATATAATGTAGTACATATGATGGCGCAACTAAGTACGGAATAAATTACGCAGACATCGAGGGGAACATGCGAAATATAGGTTGTGTACGTAAAAATGTGTACCGCGCGGAGGTCAACGTTTTTCTTACGTTTCTGTCGGTTATTTGCGCGACATCGATGTTACACGCCAGGTGTATTGTGATCAGAGAGACAATCAATGATTTGGCGTGTCGTTGGATTTGCCTGTTTGGCAAACGGGAATATCGAGGGATCGCGAACGAAGAAAATAAGGTACTTACGGGTGACCAACAAATAAGGTCGTCGGTTTCGGGATCCTCGACCAGCTTCCAGAGCTTGGCAAGAAACGCCGGCACACTGGTACCTAATTCCGGGATTGTGTGCATCGCTGCGTTAGTAGTTTTACTTTAATCTACGATAATTCCTTGGCTTTTTCAACGGTTATATCACGAGAAGAATCTTCACATCTCACGACAATGGCTGATCGCTGACGATGTTATTCTGCTAGCTCGGACTTACAGGTGGGGAGCGAGGGGGAATGATTTTAATGGACAAAATGCTCGATTTTCATTTAGAGGTACGACACGGCTACTGTCGGCAGTGGTTCGACGCGATTGGTTCTTCCTTTTAGAGCTAGGGCACCGACCAATATACGGGATTACTATCCGTTTTGTATGGTTTCATTTAAATTGGGTTCGTCGACTATTTTCAGTTGGTTCGTGAAAACATACTTCTAGTCACAATTAAAGCGAATTACTTCATAATGTCATAATAAGATTAAATTGCAGGATCTCTGATATATGATACAATGCATTATGCAACTTCTATACATGTTGCGTATTTTTACAGAGTTGGTAAAAAAGAATAATCAAGTCTTAGCAAGTTTGTTACATTACCAAGACAATTGTATTAAAAAATTAGTGTACATATAATAATTGAATGCTTTGTAGAGAAAGATTAAAAACCAAATTTTTATTTAAACATTTATATTTACGTCTACAGAAAAATAATTAATACTGCAGTGTTTTTGTACATATCTTCTGATATGTAATTTCATTAACAATACATCTTACATTCATGGAAAGATAAAGGTACAAATTCGAAATATCCATACCATCTACCTCGCCTATTGGATAAAATGAAATTTAAACATATATCGCTGTTTTACAGAGTACGGCAGAATTTGAACAACTTCAATCTTTTAAGTACATAACATGTGTTACACATAACATACATACAGCACATAAGCTTATTACAATTATCTCTGATTAAGATTAATATAAATAAACATACAACATTACATAATTCTCGAATCAACTGGTTAACAACATCCATATAAAACTATAACAATATAATAATCTAAAATTAATAAAAACAGATATACAGTTGCTGTTAAATATACAGTAAAATGTAATATCACGTTAATTTATCAACTTTGAAACGAAGTTAGATAAATGTGATATAAAACTATATCTTGACATGATTATTCATCCAACTCTGAAGTAATAATAAAAATTAGAGTATCAAAAATGTCAGATTCTGCAGTTAAATCGTTCGACGAAATTCTACTTTTCATATAATTGTAAAGAACAGAACGCGTATGAATTTATAAACACGATTATGAACCCACATTCATATTTTGGAAGATAGTAATAGCACTTCACACATTTAAAACCTTACTTGCACTACTGTTTCTGATTATAAAAAAGATTCTGGGAGTAGCTGCTGCGGTTCGTTACTGTTATCATTTACCTATAAAAAATCTTCTGTAGATGTTACGGTAGCTTCTATAAGTAGACCAAAGTCTAATTCGGCTAGACTAGCTGCAAAATAATGTTATTTAATTCAACAGAAACAAAATTACACAGTTAACTGAAGTCGTAAATTTATACCTTTTGCTGTAAGTAAATCGAGGAAGGTATCTAATGGAGATAAACGATCTGCAGATGGAAATGCAGCTAAACCTGCAAAGAATTCATTTTGTAGAATACGAAGTTCTGTCCTTTTTTTAAGCTACTTCGAATTACCATTATGATGATTCTTATGCTGCGACGTTCTACCACGATTCTGGCATATTTCGCCGGACAATATATTAGCGGCATGCTCGCGAGCTCGTATCATGAAACTCACTGGATGCAACCATTGATTCAAGAGTCTCTTAGCTCGTGATCTCGGTAACAAGGATAACAATGTTAACTTACGCACGGCGTTTTCCTTCGTGTCACTGATATCTACAACAACAAAAAGAAAAAAAATTAACGCATCATAAAAGAATTACAAATTTCTCATATTTAAAAGCAAGCATTGTACCAGCCATAATGATTTTGCTGACGTCCACTTGCAACTCAAATACCGAACGTTGGATGTACTGTAAAAACATAGAATACTTCAGAGTTCTGTATCCGAGGTATGTAAAAAACGACGTGAATCCTTGTGGGGCAGGAAACGCTATGCCTTCTATTGCACACCTATACCGTTCCAGTAATATGAACAACAACCACCGTCTTGCTTCATCCAACTGGTCACTGAAAATAGAACGTTGATTTTACCATATACCGAAGTACAATAAACATAGATAATGTTACATCCATACTTTTCCAAAACTGTTAAGACAAGAACATCAAAAATTGGGAAAGGAAATTTAGAAATGTGTACCTAGGTACCCGGTTGCCTTTTCAACTTACACCAGAATGAAACCACGCTCCTGTTCCAGACGTGGATCGACGCTTGCAGCTCGACAAAGCATTTGACAAAGAGCTCTAGATGTTTCCAATTGTGCCGCAACGTGTCTGGTTGCCATCGCATGAACATGTAGTGGAGTACAGGATCCTCGAATATGCGTCACAGACGTCTGTGTGCCATGTTTCAATAGATACATAGATAATTCCCTTAAATTTACCGAAACAACGTGTTCCTGTTTCGAAGCTGTACAACTTTCAGTTTCGTTGAAGGGTAAATTGGAGTCCAGTAGTTTATTACTACGACCACCTGTTATGTCGCCAAGCGATACCGTTGCCACGACCAATCTGCAACATTGTTTGTTCCGATCAGTTACATATTTATTATATATTCTTTAAAATTTTGTTTGTATAAAAGTCAAATAAATAATTCGTTTAAGTTGTAGCAACGGTGAAGATAGAACACAGATTAACACATGCAAAGTCGGATAGTGTTAATAAACATTAGGCACCACAGGAAAACAGTGTTACCCTCCGCTTGGAGACATTGGAGTACTGGATCTGGACAGTGCTTCGGGCTGGTAACACGCCAAAGAAACTAACAATTTCTTTGCAACTTTGCTCGGCTTGAATCTCGCCTTGTCCCCATTATTTTTACCGAGTTGGTCCCACAATCTACTCCACAAATCACTACGATAAGGGATCAGTCTCTGCTGGGGTGAAAGCAACATAACAGACGTGTTCCAGAGTTTCTCGTGGCTCAATGTTATACTTAAATCATGCACTTTGATCTCGAAACTCGTATATTCTTCCACAGTTGTAACCGGTAGTAATCCTAGCAGAGGCACAGCGTCTGCTAGCAAATGTTTCCGTACCAGGGAATAAGAACCACCGATAAGAATTTCTTGCATATATCGTACCATTTCCAATGACCTTGGTTTTTCTGCGATCGTGGATACTAACTCGGAAATGATATCCATGTCATTTCTATGACAGAGAAAGTAATGTAGTATTCCCAACCGCACTTCCGCCGACGTCTCTTTACGGTACACTTCAACGAGGAAGTCAGAGGGAATGGTTAGTTCTACTAAATCTAATGTTGGTAGATCGATAGTTAGTATGTTCGTAACAGGATATGTAGACGCGTTGTTTCCGTCATGAAAGGCTGTATCGTATTTCTTCTTGCCTCCTTTGTTATTATTACTCTCGAATTCAAGCAACGGTACCAAGTAAGAAGAACGTGATGGTATGGTCGTTAAGGGACCACATAGTATATGGCAACATGGCTCGTGATTCGTTCCAATCTCGAGAAGATGAGTGAATAAACCTTGCACCAAGACAATCATGTAATGATGCTCATAGATCGCAAACGTTGGCCTTATGAGCTTAGCTCGGGACCACGGTATACCTGGTATAACACAATGGATCACGCAGCTGTGATGAAGAAGCGTTACAGAGTATGCAAAGTGCACTGTATTAGATTCGCTCAATGAGTTAAGTACATGCTGCTGCGGTTTTACTGGACGATACAAGTAATGGTGGCAAACACAGACCATTCCTTTAGAGTCAGAGACCACAATAAGATCTAACGAACAATCGTGAACTCTTAAAGGTATTACATCGTCCTCGTATGTCCCACAGTTGGATGAAGTTGACAATTGAGGCAGGTTCAACGGTATGTTCAGCTGAAATAAGAAAAGCATTTTAAACTAGGTCACAAAATATCTATGTATTATATAAACTACTCAATCGCTTACTACTGTCTCGTGTGGCAAATCATCGTGAAATTGGAGACCACTGAGTGTCGGGTTGGTTCGCGTAGATTTATTCTGCTTCTCTTCTTCATCTTCGGAAACTACGCTCACGGGAATTCGTCGATGATGTATATGATATAAAACCTGATTGATCATATCCCATTGAGCCCAAATAAATGATTTTACTAATGGTTCAGATTTCAACTCTTTTACTGTTCGAAAATCAGATCCAGATGCATCAAATAATGTAGTATATATTATGATGCCTATAAGATTAAATGATTTAGTGTGCAGTAATTAAAAAAATCATGTAAATGTGACTTGTACACAGCTTACACTCTTGATGAATTAGTAACAGAAATTTGTCCATCTGCTCATCATCCTTTTCTCTGTACAGAAATTGTATGCGTACTTGTCTAGACCGTTTCGTATCTAGATTATGTATTTTTACCTCATTTTCTTGTAATTCTGCCACATATGCTTCGTACATTTCTACCTCAGCTGATATACTTTCATGTACCTCATCCATACATTCTGTATCTTTGTCTATACAAACTTTCTGTTTGGTCACATACCCAAAAACATTACGACTTTGATTTATTGTTGCTTGTACTATGTTGAATACTTCAGAGAATCGGTGTAACACCTATATCGTATTAATGTGATTAATTATAAATGAAAAGATAGATCTTTTATACGTCTAACATACCTGCAATTTATCATTAATCCGGTCGTAGTGGCCTACAACGGTATATGATGAGGATACATTGTTCTCTACTGTTTCCTCTATCCATCCAACTAACAGAGATCCGTCTTTTTCTTGTCCCAACAATTTCCATTGTTCCGCTGAAAATCATACTGTTACTTTACAAAGCGCATTTCATTTATAGTATGTACAATACGCACATATGATCAACTATTTGGTAACGTCAGAAAAATTACAAAGTCGCAGTGATTACCTGACTGCGCGTTTTCCGGTAAAAGTAAACATAACTTGGCAGCGAGATTTTCTATCATATCTGTCGGTAGACGCTTGTCAGTAACCAATATTTTGTACGATTTCGTTCAATAGAAATATTCAGTTGTTATCAATTTGTCAGTAACCATAAATCTTCGATGTATTTTGACATCCTCTAACTCTAACTTATCGTCTGCTATTATTGCGTTCAGAAAGCATCATAGGCATATATAATAGACTACGCGTCTTATGATAGAATGAAATCGGCCCTAGAGAGAGAGGACAATAACTGGAGCATTATTCCCCTCTTTACAATGAGCTGTTGGTGGGGGATTCTCCTACGGCTGTGGTGGAGACATTACCACCGATCTAGTAAGATCCGGTAAAAAAATAGTACCACTATTTTTTTTTGACTGGTGGCGCCATCCGTGTCGAATCGCATACGTAACTTGTCCATAGAAAGTTGAAAGAGCTATTTACAGTGAACTAAACGGAGTACCCATAGCGAGATAGAGTGTCAACCGTTACAAACAATTGAGATTTTAACAATGTCCTTGTAATTAGTAGTTCCCACCTGCCAGAGAGTACTAATCTGCGTTCTTTAAACTTCGAATGGAATCTATAACGAGGAAAACTGATGCTCGTTTAGCAGTGTAAATCCTATCGAAAACTGTTGCAATTACATAACCACTAAACAGGCAACACTTTTCTTCGTCATGCATTACATTCGAAGTTTAAAGAACGTAGAATAATACTCTCTAACGGCTGGGAACCAGTAATTACAAGAACATTGTTAAAATCACATTTCTTTGCAACGGTTGACACTGTATCTCGTCATGCGTACCCCGGTTAGTTCAGTTTGGACAGCTCGTACACAGTTATGCTGACAGCATTCGTCTTGAACAAGCACTCATTTTGAAGCTGAAGGTACGTAGATTAACCCACTGTTATTGATAATAACAATAAACAACCAGAACACTGTCAAAATCGCATTTAATTGCGGAATACCACTATTTTGACCGGTGGCGCCATCCGTGGCGAATCGGTGAAACTGCTAACCAATTATATGGCTAGCAGTTTCAGCG